AAAAAACTTGATGTTATAATGTTTGCCGATGACACAAATTTATTTTATTCCTAGAACTCAATCAAAGACCTTTATGAATGTATAAACAAAGAGCTTGAACGATTAAACGTCTGGTTGAAATTAAATAAGTTATAACTAAATACAGAAAAAACAAAATATATGTTGTTTCATTCCAAACAACAAAAAAATTATATACCAACTATACTTCCCTTACTAAAAATAGATAAGATAAACATTGAAAGAACAGAAACAGAGCACAATAAACACCAATAATAGTAAAATTTCAAAATTTCAAAAAAATATTGGGATACTCTACAAAGTTTGTCTCAAGATAATTCAAATGTCTCAAGATAATTCAAATCTTTTTATCTTTCTTACATCCAAAATTATCTTACGTACAATAATATTTCATGGGCAATAACACACAAATTCAAATTGAATACTCTTCATATAAATCAAAAACATGCATCAAGATTAGTTTATTATAAAGATAAACTCACCCATGCTGAACCTTTACTAAAAACCATGAATATTTACTAAAGCAACATCTATCAAAATATTCCATTTGTGCTTAAATACAATCTTAGACTAGCCCTATCGAATTTTTCAGATAACTTTTTTCAAATTAACACTAATAGATATATCACAAGAGCAACAGGGATTTCACATTGCTTAAAAAAAAAAAAAAATTCTTACAATTCTCTCTTTCGTACCGGGGTCCGTACCTATATAACAAAAATAAATTCCAAAAATGTAGAACTTAAAACGTTAAATAATTCTGCTAACTTCAAAAAAAAAAAAAAAAAAAAAAAAAAAAAAAACTCCTACTTAATATCAACAATTTTATTGACATATATTAAACTTAACAACATTATTTATACTAAAATATTTATGATTGAATATACTAAAATTTACTGACTGTATAGTGTTTAACCACTTTTAACAATAAAAATTAATCAGATTTATTTAATCATTTAAAGAGGTACCCAATGACTTCATAGTCTTCTACGAGTCTCCTTTACAACAACATGTTTAAATTTAAAGAGGTACTCAATGATAAGACTTACTCTTCTACGAGTCTCCTTTACAATAACATGTTTATATTTGAAGAAACAATAGTTTTTAGTTTTTATTTAAAAATAAATAAACACTGTTAGTTTTAATGATAAGAAATATTATTTATAAATTTAACGTTATATTTTGTTAAACTTGCTAAATTACGTACTCTTATGTTATGTTATATATTTTATACTTTGCATTATACTATGTGATAGAATGGTAACGTAATTAAGTGGAAATATATTAAAGTTGTAAAAAAAAAAGAAAAAAAAGAATTCGAGTAATTTAAAAACCGCCTTAACTGCACCGAGTATGTATAAAAAAAAAATACTGAAAATATAAAATGCGTTGAAATAATTTTTTTTCTTTAACTCAGTGATTAAAATAAAAACAGAAAACTACAGCTTTGACGCTACAGACAAAGCAGCAATTTTGTTATGTTGTCTTTGAAAACATTGATCGATGGAGCGTTCACTACTGCTTAGAACAAGGCTTTAAACCTGCTAAAAAAATCTAACTTGCCAAAAATGCCTTTAAAAATAGGTTTTCAGTTTCCACATAGAAAATTTTGTGATAAAACTTAAAATCCATTAGTTAGCTATCTACATCTAGGACCGAGGATTAGGCAAAATAAATTTTGCTCATTGCTTAAAAAAATCCATTTTATCAATTTACCATTTTTGTTGTTTTCCGCGGTCAAGTTGTCTTATCGACAACTCCATGTCAGTAAATGATTTAAAAAGCCCAATAAGATCATGAGTTTGTGTAAAATGCAAAGTAATATTTGTTATAATATTTATTAGTTAGGATTAGGGTAAAAGTTCACAGTTAGCTAACCCTGTCAGGGTTAAAATTTTCCATAGGTTCTGCTATAAAACAAGTTGCTCTACCAGATACTTACAAACCTTTAAGGCAATCTGTATTGGGAAATTTAAAAGGTATCGATGAACACTTTTATTTGACGGTTGAACTAACAAGTATAAAAAATTAGTTGTATGGGTCTAAAGTGTTCCATGGTAATGATAACTAAGATTGAAAAATGTTTACTCTTGTACGTTTGTCTTTAGAAAGTCATACAGGTGAAAATTGTACGAATTTTTCAAGACATTGTTTAAGAATTTTTTCAGAAGCATTGTAGAGATATGAGGTTATGTACTGTGCACGATAGTGCAGCAAACATGATGAAAACCTCTAGACTTTTAGGCTCAAAGGATCCACATCAATGTCTGGCTCATACCTTTCATTTAATATTGACATGTGATGCCTAAGTAAAGTACAAAAAATAAATAAAGAGTAATTAAGTAATTTTTCATATATTTTTCATTGTGTTTGTATTTTGTTCGGAACATGCAATGATATTAAATTTTTTTTTCAGTTTTCCCATTTTACTTGAATTAAAAGAAAGAGACTTGGCAAAAGAAGAGAATAAAAAAATCTTTTTGCCCAAATTTTATGGAAAATCTGAATTTAGCTACAATTCAGTAGCAAAAATGTTGCAAATACATTTCTATATTGGTAGTCATTTTGTTTAACGTTTTTCCCAAACAAAATGAATCAAATGCAAATCTGGCAATGAAGAAAAGGAGGTTTTTTTAAGATATAAAACTAGTAAGAAAACTGGTTCACAGTTTTTTGAATAATCAAAGCCTCTCACTAAGGAAACGCACAAAAGTATGAGGATTTTTTTATTGTTTTGTCGTAAAAGTTGGATATAAATATGTTTTTCAAGCTTTCAAATCACAAAAAGTGCCTAACTGTTCTGGAATTCAAAAAAAAAAAGCAAAAACCGACTGAAAAAAGTTGTATGACAGCTAAATTTTTCTAAAAACTTCTGAATTATTGAAGATGATAAACATATATGAAGTAGATCATCAGCAAATTCCTGTTGCAGTCTATTTTAATTCCAAATAAGAGGAAAAGCAGATAAGAAATTTTAATACACAAAAAATAATAAGTTTGCTAAAAAAGCTTTGATTTGGCAAACTATTTGCAGGTATGACAAAAAATCAGCACCCTATATTTCTGAGTCCACACTTTTTGGTAAAATATATGTTAAAGCGTGTTAACAAAAACATCTTTTACCTTCTATTGAAAAAAATGATAGTACAAGCCATTATAGCAAACTGGCTATAGAATGGTATAAACTAAATGACCTGAAAGTTGTGTAAAATAGCAAATCCTCTAAACTGCCCAATATTAAAAACTATTGCAAAGTACTGTGTAATTATTAGACGAAAAAAAATTAAAAAAAATAAATGCAGAAACATTAAAGATTTGAAAATGTTATTTAAAAAACATCAAATAGTTTTGATTTTTATTCTGTGCGAAGGCCTAGGGGTACTACCAAAACAAAAATTCTAAATTTTTATTAGATACCCACAGGAATAAATTAATTCCTTTGAAATATTTTATTTTCTAATATTTATGTATTAAAATTAATACTTAGTTCCCAATAAAAGTCAATGAGTACCTTTTTTTAGTTTTCTACTTTCACACTTATTTCGTGTACACACTTTAATTGTAACGAAATAAAATATTTGTAAAGAAAATGAAGAATTGTAGCATGCTTATATTTCAAGTCAGGTTTACTTTTAGAGGAATCATATCTTGAAGCAGATATAAAATTGCACAACATCCTTTCTATTTCTTACTGAAATGAAAGGTTTTGACGATTTGAAGAAAAAATATTTGATAGCGCATGTAAAAAGAAGTTTGAGGATGGTTTTATAAAAAACAACTCAAGAGCCTAAAACAGCAAGAACACACAAGAAGAACACACATATCAAGTACACTGCCCTCTTAATGTTGTGATAGTATATCGCTTATTATTTAACTGTCGGGATTCTTGTTGAGTCACATGACTGCCATGCTTTGTGTTTTTAGTAACTTATATTGCTAGAGTAGCGCTTATCCTTGTAATAGCGTGATGTTTATACAAAGCAAAATATATATATCAACATTGTTATATTTATGGATTACTTAAAACAAATACAATACTTTATGATAGAATCAATTAACCAGTAATTAGATCCTATAGAAATTTTATTCATAAAATGTGTTAGGGAAAAGTTGTTTGAATTGTTGATTTGAATGAAATTCAAAAAACTAATTAAATATAGCTCACTAAAACTTAAGTTATCTTCTGCAAAAATATGTTGCTTTTTAGATCATACAAATTCTATAAACAAGAGATGAAAAAAAAAAAAAGAAAAGTTAGTCGGAGAATGCTTTATACATAAAATTGGTCCAGTTGGATTCAATTCAAGGTATTTTATCTCTAAACAATTGTTTGGACAGACAGTTGCATAAGTTATATTAATTATTGTAAGTTACAACAATAAAGAAGTCTTTGCTTTAGCAATTACTGAAAATTACTTAAAATAGTTACTTAAATTATTGACAATTTGCATTACTATTTAAGTGGTATACTTGTTGATAGTTAACAAAGTTACTCAGCATTTAGCCATCATTGATAACTGTTAGGCTTTAACCTCTAGTTACGATGATTTAAGTTATAAACAATCCGGAATCAGGTATTTTTACGGTATTAGTAATTAAAATAAAAGCAATAGAGCATTATAATAAAAAAAATAAAGATTTAGCTGCGCTAACCCGCTACTTAATTTGACAATTATAAAAAAATTGTAACAAAAAGTAATAAAGATCTAAAATAATATGAAATTATTCTTTGTGGCTTTACAATGTGCAATTTGGTATACTTATCTTGTTTAATCACTTCTCAATTAAACTCACTGATGAGAGTAAATAGTTGCAAAAGAAAAAAAAACAAAAAAAAAAAAAAGCAAACGTAAAAACAGTTTTTACAAATCTTTTAAACCCAATCTCGAAAAATCTTCAACAGCCATCAATCCTTTTTTCATGCGACATTCTAAGTATTCTTTGGATTGCAAGCGGCAATGGTAATTCTCTTGTTTGTTTTCTTTTAAGCAGCTCATAAATTTTTTCATAAACTCTTTGCATTCGCCATCGTGATCTAGTGGAAAACTTCCTTTTAAAGGAGGGGTCGGTTTAAAGACCTTTTGTGAAGGGTTCATATATTTTAACCTAAAGTTGTTTGAAATCGAAAAGTTATAAAATATAATCAGATAGAAAAATCCTATATAAATACTGAACATATATTTTGAAAAAATATAACTAAATTGTTAATACACCGAAAACACTAGAATACTGAATGATAAGAAAAATAGAACACTGAATAATAAGAAAAACTCAAAAACAAGAAATAAAGGAATCATAATAAAAACTTGAAAGGTATCCTAAACAAAAACACCCATAATTAAGAGTTCAGGAGGAGAGAGGAGAGGAAAGAATAAATTTCTTTGTATAATTCAATAAAGCGTTAAAATATTTAAATACATTACAACATATTATAACAAAATACTTTTTAAAAACAAAAAAATATTTGGCGCTCAAAACAAAATATTTGGCGCTCAAGATTAACAGAGAAATGTGAATATAACATTAAAACTAGTCTTACAGAAAACACATACACGAAAAACAATTTTTACTTTGTAATAAAATATCCAACTCATGAAACTCATGATAATATTTACAAAATTCTTAAAAAAAATTTATTTTTCAAAAGTTCAAACAGATCTAGTTTAAAAATCATTTAACAAAATCCAAAGATCTATTGCAAATCGTTTCATTCAATCAAATAGTCACAAGATTCATTGCAAATCTTTTCATCCAATCAAATAGTCGTAAGTCCATTGCAAATCTTTTCATCCAATAAAACAGTGTATTTGTTGCTCTTGTACCCCAATACTAAGTATCAAGCTAAAATAAAACAAAGATAAAAATTAAAAATAATATTGATAAACAAAACTTTTTAGTTAATCAATTGTAATATATTAATAATTTTATTTATTAATTAGAAACAATACTTTATTAACATATTTATTTTAACACCATAAATTATAATTCATGTAATCATCGCTTACTCTAAATTTAAAGAATTCTAGCTAGTTTTTATTTATATTAACTTTTATATTTTCTTTAACTAACTTTTTATTTATGATAAAATTTTATTTACAGTATATATATATATATATATATATATATATATATATATATATATATATATATATATATATATATATATATATATATAATATATATATATATATATATATATATATATATATAAATATATATATATATATGTTTTATTCTATACTTTAACTAACTTTAAAACGTATTTTTTTAGTACCTGTTTATATTTCATTTGTAAATGAAATATAAACAGGTACTAAAAAAGGTACCAGACATATGCTTGAAGGATTGCTCCGAACTTAACCCATTTATAAATTAAAATTTACGCAACTTTTACAAATTTTTTTTTTAATCTCTTATATTACAAGACAATGGTTGATTATAGTTAAAAATAATTATTATTAAACTATACATAAATTACTTTTTAATACTAATTTTCGACATGTGTATATATGCATACATATACACTTTGTTATACTTTCATTTTGTTAGTTTGTGATGCCAGTTAGATTTCATTTTGTTAGTTTGTGATGCCAGATAGTATTGAAATTTTATGTAGCAGCAATTTGATGATTTTTCTCAAGTGGTTTGAACAGTTTAAAAAATATGTTCAAGCATACCAAAACCTGTTTAATTGATTTTGGATGACATCACACAAAGAATGATTGAATATGCTAGAAACTATTTTTGAAACCTGTCTGAGGTGGGCAACCAATCCCTCAAGCAGGTCTCAAGAATTGTCGAAGGGTCGGCAATGTCCGGCACATAACTCAACCCTGCAATAGACAGATCTTATATGAAACCCTTTTAAGGCAGCAAAGAAAAGGATCAGCAATAGGAATCATAGAATTAAAATTACAGATTATTTTATTGCTGGTCTTGTATCTAGTGGATTTTAAAAATGCAGCGCACTATGAAATAGTTTTATGTAGATTTAAATACATTAGCATATTTCCATTAGATTAAAGGATATTTTCTGACATAGATTGATCTACCATCTATCATAACATATCCTTCCATGGAAAACCCTCCACAACAACACCAAAACAAAACAAAAAAGAGCCATCAGCAATCAATGAGCCATCATCTGACTACAACATTCTTACAAGCATCACTTAACAAATTCTTACAAAATTTTTTAATAAAAAAAACCCTCTACTAGCAATATTTCTGAACACTTTCGCAGTTCATATCACATATCACAACACATATCACAGCAACAACACTTCATATCACAGCAACAACCCTTTATACCACACCAACAACACTTTATATCACAGCAACAACACTTTATATCACAGCAACAAAAATATATAACATAATTTCAATCAACTCTACAATAAATGATGCTTTACATACTTTATCTCCCATTCCTAAAAAAAATTCTAGAAAAAGAAAAGCTAAAAGAATTGAAATGTTTTCTCTTTATCTCATAACGTTACGCAAACCAACATTACTTAAATTGGCTCAAAAAAAATAATTATAATAAATAAAAAATAAATAAAAAAAAGATTTTAAAAAAAAGAACAAATATGCTATTTATTTATTTGACTCTTTAAAAAAAAACTTAATGTTTATAAACTGAACTGAATGCTTGAAAATAAAACTGAATGTTTAAAAAAAATTGAATGTATTATCTATGTATTACAGTTTTATCAGAAATTTTCAAAACCTTCTGGTTAACAAATCTAGTTTAGAGTTAAACCACACTTTTATTATGTGACATTAGGGTGATGTGTTTCTTTTTTTCAATATTTATTTATACTATTGCAAAGATAATTTGAATAATCTATTTATATCTTAACTATTTTTTTAATGTTTTTAATCTTTATTTGTATTAAAATATTTTTAAATACATAAATAATAATTTAAATGAATAACAAATAAAAGAATACCAAAAATATCCAAATATAAAACGTAAATACTTAAAATAGAGAAAATAAAGAAAAAAACCTTTTCATGAGATTAGTAAAATTATCTGGTCCACATATTGCAATTAAATATTCTTTATCCAAAAGGAAAGGAATTATTTGCTTTTTAGGTTCTGAACATCCTTCATCAGGTTCTAAAGTTAGGGGAATCTTTGGAGGTTCTATCAACTCGTTTAAAAAAATCTTCAGCATTTCTTCATTTATTTTTCCACATAGACCAGACCAATTAACAGAGGGTTCACTTAGTACATAAGTAGCAAAGAATCTAGTAAATAATATAATAAAAAAAATTCAAAATTTATTAGTTGAACACGATGAAATTCAGCACTTTTTAATCATTGATAACTCAAAAACAACTTGACAAATATTTAAAAAATTTTTGCGCACAGAAGCTAATGTGTTGTTGTTTAATTGTAATGGTAATAAGTATTGGTTACTGTTGCTATCAGATAAAAATGACTTAACAAAAATTAAATCAAAAAAAAGTTTTAAAAAATTTTCATGAAAATCCTTCATTGTCATAAGTTGACATTTCAAAAATGACCGGTGTTTCTCGATAATCAGTTGGATTTTGTGGTGATATAAACAGACTCAATGTATTGAAAGGGAAGCTGGAAATGGAAAAAAGAAAGGATTTAAAGATAAATATAAAACAAAATCAATCAGTCGCAGAGAGATCTTGCTAGAAAGTTTTAATGAAAGTTTCATATTTTAATGCAGAGCTTTGATAGGAAAAGTACTTAGATCTTAAGAATATAAAGCATATCATAAAAAGAAAACTCCAAAGCAATCCATTGATCGAGAAATTGTAGCAATTCGTTGTTCAAAAAAGCTATATAAACTTTTGAACCGAGAAAACTTGTGCATAATTAAAGACGATGAAATCTATTGCAAAAAGGATTTTTCACAATTGCCAGGGCAGCAATATTTTTATCAGTTGAAAGGTAGATATGTTGCCAAAAAATTCAAGTATATTCAAACTGAAAAATTTGCTCCCAAGTTCCTTATTTGGCAAGCAATCTGCTCCTGTGGTTTAAAAAGTACACCATACATTACTCATAAAACTTTGAATGCAGATTTATATATAAAAGAATGCCTAAAGAAACGCCTTTTGCCATTAATTAAAAAGCATGAAATGCCCCCAATATTTTGGCCTGATTTGGCTACAATTCACTACTCCAAAAAGTCTCCAAAATAGTAAGAACAAAGTGGCGTCTAGTTTTTTCCTAAGGAAGCAAATCCTTAAAATTTTCCTGAGCAGCGAGTTATCGAAAGTTATTGGTAAATTATAAAAGGAATTTTATTGAAAAGCAAGAAATTAGCTACAAATAAAAAAAGATTTTTAGAAAAAATGGATAGTTGCCTCAAAAAAAAGTAACTCAAAGCAAGATCCAGAGTCAAGTACTCGCAAAGATATTAGGTTTCTATCTAAGCATCCGATAAAAAATTTTAAAAATTATTGAAATAAATAATTCAATTAGCTTCATTGTGTCAAAAAATTACA